ATGAGAAAAGACCCTCCCTCAAGCTGCAGTATCATTTGGCAGCCTGGTGCCACATGTCAGAGTACAAGGACTGCAGGGTAGCACTGGAGATTTACAGCTCTTGACTTAAAGGACTAATGGGTGAAACAGGGAGAGACTACCCAGCTGTCATGTGTTTCCAAATTATTTCCTCTGTACAGCCTTTTATCAGAATTGAAGAACATAACAGCAGTGGCTCATACTGTGTGAACATCACAGCAGCACTGCAATCATTGCTGCTGGCTTCCTGTGTCTTCAGTTTCACCCACTAAAAGAATGGTTACAAAAAAAGATGTCCTTGTCTCCAATGGACAGATTTTTCAAGGAACCTCAAAAGTGTATTTACATTCATTATTGCTGTTAGGTTGGGTAAGCCCCTATCAATGTCAGTTGAAAGTAACAGTCTAGGGCAGTCTGGGGTTTTCCAGGTTTTCTATACTTCTGATATACATAATAGAAGGTACATTAAGCTTTGGAAATTTTGTGGGACGAAACTGACTTGAAGGTATTTTGATATTTTCCATGTAGTGCCTATTTTGGGAACCACTTTATCATCTTGAAAAAAGAAACCTGTTCAATATAGTCTAAAGAAGTACTTTTGGTTTTGACTGAGTATAAACATAAGACAGCCAAGGCTCCAGCAGCCCAGTCAACCATATGCTATGTGTTTTACTGTCAAAGAAGCTGTTTGTGTTTTGTGTTAATGCTTAGATAACGTGAAAATAAAGGATTTCAAAGCTCTGAGCAAGATGTCTTGTCAGGACCCTGCTGCCTCTTATATTAACTGCCCAAGAACAGGATAGAGTTTCTCTTTCTGATCGAAGCTGCAGACCTGCAAGTGCCAAATGCTATCACTCAGCAGTGGAACCAGATAGAAAATGAATGCTGGGCTAGAAGGGCTTGTGCTCCAATCTAGTACAATGTAAGAGACTCTAAGGTCATTAGTTACACTCCCTCTAAGCTTCAAGCTCCACCTTTAGGTGAAGGCAAGGGGTTTGAGCACAGGACTGATATCACTTCAAGAAGCGGTGCACCAGTTCCTTCCCAGACTGAAGAGGCAAATCCTCATGTTTCAGGACTACAGTATGAATTCTGTACACAATGATTCTGTACCACAGGACTAAACCATCCCCTTCTTGGGAGACCACCTTGGAAGTCTCCTTGCCCTGGCAAGCAAGCCCTTAAAAACACAAGAGCAGAATCAAGATTACTTTAAAGGCTTTTTTGTCTCTTGAATGGTCTACAAAGCCAATACTGCAACAATCATCTCTTGCCAGAAACACAGCCAAATCTTCAGAGCATCAGCCTGGAGGTGGCAAGGCAGTTTGAAAGAATGAAGTCACTTTCCGGTTTAAAACCAGAACTGCTGTCTCTAACAGCAAGACTCAGTCCACAGCATCTCAGATGTTCTGGGGTCTCATTCTGGGACCAGGACTCTGGCCCTGCCCTCCCCAGTAAAAAAGATAGCGACCCTCCTACAAGCTTTGGTATAAACTTAAAAGGTATTAATGCCTTCCTCACATTGTTTTCTGCACATCTCTCACCAATTTGTGCTAGCATTAGGACTATCATCACTTTCATACTACGCCCCTTCTTGTCACTGTCCACTGAAAGCATATCCAAACATATTAGTAAAGATTTTGCCATGCATGCAACACTGCAAAATCTGGATCAGCAAGTTCAGTGTGCAGTCTCCCTGGTAATAAGGCAAAAGAAGGAAATCGGTGTTTTGTTCTGTGCCACAAAATAACCTGCCTGCCCCACATATGTTAGAAGCAGGAACTATGAGCCTTTAGACACAAGACACGTGGCAGCTTTTCCACGATGCAGATATGCAGCAGCTCATGTTCAATATGCATTTAAAGGCAGGTGAGGCTTATTTCAATGCTTGCTGGGGTGACTGACCAGCTGTTCATAAAAATCTGAGCATTTTGGAAAAAATCTTATTGCACAGACTCATGGGAAGGACAGGTGTTTGCACTCAAATGGCTGCGTCTGTTACCAACACAACAAAAGAGCATGACAGAAGACAACTGTCTGTTCTCTGATATTCTCTACACATAGTAACTTAGAAAACTTTAATCTGCATTTGGGAAAAAAACATCACTAGTCCTCCAAAAGACATGAATCTGCAAAGGACCGTCCCTACACTGCAGTAAGGCTCATTGTTTTTGGGTAAAAATCAGAAAAAAAAATAACCCAGGTTTAAAAGCACTTAGGCATGAAGCAGATACACATTAGTCACCATGAGGTATTTTTTTTTTTTTTCCCAATACTGCAGAGTTACCCAAGACAGTGGCCTATAAAGATCTTTCCAAAGAGCAGATCTCTTCCATTCTCAGTTCTCATGATTTGAAAAAGCAGGATTTTCAAACTTCTGCAAAAAGACCTATATGAATTGTCAGAACTGTGCAGAGTCAGACAGCTGAGCCACTGTTAATATAAACCACTACATGCATGCTTCTCCAATTAGTCACCCCACAAAAAACAAATGCTGCCTAAGGTCTGTTCTTGTATATCACAGCAAACCTCTTATCAGAGCCCAAGTCCAGGAGCCTGTGTACTAAAGACAAACACATCTCATTGTAGTTCCATAAAATCCTCCATAATACAAACTTCTAACCGTGATCAGTTTTGCTGCAAACCGGGCAGTGTTTCTGCAACCCTTGTGAATGATGTTAAGCTGTCAGTCAATTGAGAAGCAGCAAAACTGTAGGTCCACTTCTTTTCCACTGCACACATTCCATTTGTCCTTTTTTTCTCCTGTAAGTGTTGCTGCTATTAACAATTTTATTCTGCTTGATGGCAGGCCATTTTGATGCCTGTGTCAGTGGCAAACCTGGCTTGTTTGAATCCATTCAAGTCTCTCACGATCATATTTTATGAAATGTGAAGCTTCACTACAGAAAATGGTTTAACATTCTCAATGAACCACAGAACCTAACTGGAAGCCTGGAAGGAATCATTAGTATTTACAAATACATGAGTCATTCCATATTTGAGATGTCACTGTCTGCAGCTGCATACTTCTATGTACTCACATTCCAGCATCTCTTCTTTTAAATATTGCATCAAGACATATGCTGTGCAGTGCTGCAAGCTGCTTATAAAGAGCCTGCAACATCACATACTTTCTGAATCCATTCAGAATCCCTACAGCTGTTTTTCATAGTTTCTAGATAATGTAGAAAGTTCAGTCACTCTGAAGCCATTTCTTTTGCATCAATGGTCATTCTAGATGTCAACTTTGAACACCTCATTAATTTGCACTTGTTTTCTTCTGCTTTTCTTCTTGCTGATCTTCTTCTCAAGTATCTTTAGAAGAATCCTGGTCCCCACCAAAATCAGTGGGACTTAACTATTAAGTGCTTAATGGTCAGATTTTAACAAGCATTAGGACATCTCCATATGAAGGTGGGGGGATTCTCAAGAGAGCCTAGTTACACTGACATCTTCGTTAATACATTATTTATCTGGAGTACAATTATTTTTTTTAAGTGACATGGGAACATATGCCATCTACATGGCAGAAAATTTCATCTAAACACTCAGCTCAAGTCCACATTCTGACTATTTTGCCCTGACCTTCAATATGCTGTGCAGCACTTATCTAAGTACTGTCTTAGGCTGGTACTTTGTATAATTCTACATTTTAATCCATGCTTCCTGCATGGTCTGGCATTAACTACTCTAGTCCCTTATTTAAAATGAGAATGGATTCTTCAAGGTCTGGTTCTCTTCTAGGGATCCATGCAAGCAAAGACTTCCTATCAAAGAGAATGTTTCCAGATCAACATGCTAGAGGCTGAGCTCTTAACATATTCTCAGAGTCAGTGTGTCAGGACAACGATGACGTCCTTTAGATCGTGTTTGGTTCAGTCTCCACCATGTGAGACTGGGAAGTGATGAGGGAAGGACTTTGTGCGTGCAGGCAAAGACAGAGGGAAAAGATAGGGGAACTTTCAAGACTGAAGAGAGTGTTCTCTGTGTTCTCTTACATGAGGGAAGTGATACTTCTACATCCTTCCCCAGTCCTTGAAAGGGCTCTGTTGAGACCCCATCTGATTCTAGCTTTTTTCTTCCAATGGCCTCATTGTCTTGTCACTAATTCCTCACCTTTTTGTCTCTGGTAGGCCTGAATCCCTGGGCCCCTTGATGTGTGCTAGCGCTCACCTGACCTTCATCTCGTGGATTGAAATTACGGCTGAGAGATTATAAGAAAATGCTGAAAGCTTTATTAAAGATGGAAGACTATAAGAAAATGCTAAAAGCTTTAATAGATTGTATTAAGATTATTGTTGCACTAAATGTTTAGGAGTGAATAAGAGTGTAATATATGGAAGAGTTATGCTGTGTCATAATAAACTGAAATTAATCGCAGCACTTCTGTCCAGATATTTAATTTCTTTGAAAGGAGTGGCTAAAATAGTTGCAGAAAATCAGGAGTTTCTAATGTTTGCTTCAGATCAGGCAAGCACAAAAACTCAGTCCCCAGAAAAGTGTCTTAACACACTGAAACTTGAAACCTGCAAGCTAACACAATGGTATTGGCATTTAATCCTCTGAATATTACATGAGAGGAGTGAGAACATTAGGAATTCACTAGTTCCCTAAGGAGTTCAAGCCAAGATCCTTTTCCTCCTGAGGGTAAGACATGACTGACTACAGCCCTGCCAATCATCCAAATGTGAGCTCTGTTCTTTAAAAATCAGCATTTAAGAAGATGACCAAGTCCAAGTGAAGTATGAGTGTCCTCCAGAGGATGCCTGAAATACTAGTAAAATATGGATTTTGTCACAGTTTGAACCATAGGCTGAAAATTTCCTTAATTCTGCCTTCTTTTTAAAAAATAAAAATGTTAAGTGCTTATCAAAATCATTACAGAAGTCTTTTAGCAGGCTTTGAAGTGAATTCTTTAACTGTGATCACAAAGTACCACTACTTCATTTCCTTTGAACTATGACTCTTCAGGCTGTCCTTGTCTGTGTATTGGTTTTATTACAGGAAATGTGTGCACAGTCATACTAAGAAAAAGAAGGCAAGAGAGAACAGGTCTCCTATAAACACTTTCATTTTTTTTTTCATTTAATCTGTTGTATGAGAAGATGCCTCTCTTAGCATGGCTCTTAGTAAAAACAGCACAAATTAACCACAGATTTCACCCTAGTGAAGCTCAATTTACCATGATCAGTACTCCACAGCCATTTTTACAAAGTATGTCACAAGTTACAAGCGAGGTGTTCCACAGTGGTTACCATGCCTTACTACAGCCAAAGGTCAATCCAGAGACAAAGTCTCAATCCACAAACAGTAGATTTCACAGCATCTGTCTCCTCAGATCTTTTTGACACTTACCTCTGCTTTCTGATGGGAATAGTGACCCCATCTGCCTCCTCCTTTTTGCTGGCTAGAAGGAAGGCTCCCTTCTTCTGGATTAAAAATTTAGCAATGACATTGACTGCAGCCTTGTGCTGCTGCTTTCCTTTTGAATCACGCACCTGGAAAAGAGGTTTATTATACACAGGGAGTGAATTGTGTGGAACGGACAGTGAACAAACATGAATCCGAGGGATTACCTTGGACGGGTCAGAATCTATTTTACATCAATTCACATTTGGATACAGCAGCTCAACTGGTGGCACCCAGATTCGAGCCTGTGACGGGCAGGACCATACATGGAGGAATTGTGACACCGTGTGGGAAAAATGTGAAATGCCACACCATTTTGTCTATTTTATAACAGATTAATTTTGGAACTTCCGGATATCAAAGCCTCAACAGTGCTTTTAAGGCTAAAACTTTGTTGCCTGTAGCTTAGATTTTTTTTTTTTTTAATAACTAGAAAAGGTCACCAGGAAGTATCACAGACATCCAGCACCATGACATTGCTGTTATTTGACCTCTGCTAAGAGCAGAAATGACCATCTATGGAATGAAACTTAAAGCCAGATGGATGACATCTTGCCAGGGTCTTCACAGATCATCATGGATTGCAGGATAAAAATCACATTCAAGAAACCCAGTTCCCTCCCGGGCTTTGGAGGAGAGAAGGAAAACAGACTAAAGACTCATCATCTGTTTAGCTCAACTTCTTTGCTTTATCCTCCCTAATTCTGCCTTTCCACACACTTCCTCACTTTTTCAGCTCCTCACCTAGGTCTCCCATTTTCTTGTCCAAACCTCTTCAGTTCTGCCCTGCTGGCTGCTCACCCTGTCTCTTCCTCCTCCCTGTGCCACACTGGTCCCTACCACCTCACTTTCCTACTATTTTTAATTTGCTCAGCCAGCCAAGTTTCTCCTCTAAAATCACGCATTCGTGTCCAATCCATCTTGCCTTTGTTCAGCTACTGCTCTGCTCCCAACTAGTGCCTAATCCTACCCTGCTAAATTTTCTACTTCCCCCTATCTGATTTTACAGTTCAAACACATCAGCAAGTCATCACAGCATAACAAGTCCATCAACAGAGTAGCAGTAATTCATCTTGCAGCAAATTACACCATCTTATCTCAAGGTTAATGTGAGGTAAAATTAATTTGGCTCAGCCTTTGTCACAGGCAGCTAAACTAGTGCACTTTTCTGCCATTTTGCAACATGCAAAGTTAATCCACTCAAGACTTTGTGCAGTAACTCTCAAGGGTGTGGACAGTTTACTCATACATCTGAGCACCTGAGCAAGGTGTGCCTTGCAGCCAAGTGGCTATAAAAAAAAAGATCCAGATAGACAACACCCCAGTTCACCAACACAGTCTTGTTCTGGAAAAGTTATTAATGGGAAAAAAAAAAACAAAACAAAACACCAAAAACCAAACCCCAACAATGTGGCCCACAGATCTAAACAGAACGCTCATAAGTCAAGTTGGTTTTTGGGTTTTTTTTTTAAGAAAAAGGAATCTTTTGTGATTGCTTATAGTTCAGTTGACTGCAGCTCACTTTCACCAGAGCAACAGGATATATCCTTGACATACTCAGCTCAACCTACCACATAAGCTTTGAGTACTTTTCCAAAGTACTGATCATAGACAAGATTGCCAAAGTTTAATGCCTGGGATCGAATATTTCCTCAGAGCCTTGTGTATTTTGGAATATTTTTCTTCAGAAATGTGCGGTTTATATTAAAAATAAATAAATAAATAAACAAGACCTATTCAGACCAAACCTCACCACTTAGCCCTTGCAGTGTATTCCACAGCACACAGCAGTGCACTAGGGTCCCTGGCCAAGTCTCACACAGCTTCAGGTCCAGAAGAATATGGAGATTTCAGGCAAAGAACAGTCAAGATAGTAACAATCAACACAACTTTTAACACTTGTAAGGCTGTTTATACCTGTAGTACACAGACATTTCTTAGAAATATAGTTAAAAACTAGCCAGTATTTTACCCACACAGACTCTAATCAAAGCAACTTCAATAAACCTTAACCTTGAGCTTTTTCACTCAGCCACATATACCTGTCACCTCCTATGAGCAAGTACTGCCCTTCAGGCAGCTATGCAGCACCCTGAAAACTTTTATCTTCTATTTTTTGGCAAGTTAGTTTTCAGCCACATCAGTCTCCAGAGCTGGTTCCCTACACAGTCCTTCAGGTGCTAACACTTGACAGATCAGAGGCAGCAGGACCAGGCAGCTTATAGTGAACAAAGAAAAATGTGGCAACACCTCATATTTAGTCCAATTTAATGCAGTAAAAGCACCTTTTTGTCGTACATGACTCCAGAGAGTACTTATCTGTTTGGCTATGCCCTGGCATCTTGTAGGACTCTCAAGAACACATTTAGTTATTCCATTGCTCCTTCTCAACCTGGTTTCCATCTGATCCATTCCACATAAGAAAAAAAGAAGTCCAGGCTGCCTGTATTTCGTCATCTCTGAAAACCTTATAGTGGAAAAATATCAGAGGGTGGAGCCAACAAAGAATAATTTTTTGGCCAAAGTACAGTTTACACACCTCATTACCCCAAGGCAGATGTTCATCATGGAAGAATTTCAACATGGAAATCATGGAGTTTTAATGAAATAAGATACAAGAAAGGAAAACTGAACTTGATAATGAGAAATGCCAGGGAACTCTATTGAAAAGTGGCTTTTGTTGCCATATCAAAAATTGTAATAAGGTATCACATTGTAAAGCTCTTTAGTAAAATGAGGGTCTTTACAGCCTGCTAGGTATCTTTAGGTCATGGATCAATCCATTGTGGGAAGTCACATCCTACAGATGTACAGATGTAGATTGTGTCTGTCAGAAACAAAGATGTGACAGCATTTCTTAGTTCAGATACATCTTCAGTTGACCCACCAACCTAAAAATGTTGTTGCTTCAGGCAAAGGATGGGCCTTTAAGAAAGTAAACTAGCATTCAAAGTTAAATTGTCTACAAGTAAATTCACAGACCCAAGGAATTTGGAACTACAGTCCTAAAGTTGCTTTCCTGTAATGAGGTACTGAGGGGCCAGCATTTTATGTCAGACGTGACAAGCTGCAAATAACCCTTTGATACACAGTTTTATACACAAAATAACTAACATAAGGGACTTGCTTCAAGGTTATAGACAGAGGACAGGGCCCATTTTCAATTTCTCTGTTTTTGGTTTTTTTTTTTTTTTTTTTTTTTTTTTTTTTTTTGTCCTATTCCTAGGCAGTGTTGCTGCAAATCTCCATATGTTCACAAAAGCATTAGCCTTTTTTTGGTTTTAACATTTAGCATGAAGAAGCTTCCAACTTTGTTTCTTATAAAAAAGGATGGCCTACTCCTTGAGGAAACAGCAATGTTTTCCAAAGCATGATGTTTATTTGTAATGCTTTTTACAAGCCTCTTGAGATGCTCTACAGATGAAAAAACCCTGCAGCCTCTCTGCGCAGTACATACCAAGCCTATTTTCACAAAATCAGAGAAACAATTAGGTTGGAAAAGACCTTTGAGATCACTGAGTCCAACCTATAACCAAACACTATCATGTCAAACAGACCATGGCACTGAGTGCCACATCCAGTCTTCCCTTGAACACCTCCACCGACGGTGACGCCACCTCCCCGTGCAGTCCATCTCAATGTCTAATTCCTCCTAATGTCCAATCTAAACCTCCTCTGGCACATCTTAAGGCTGTATCCTCTTGTCTTGTCACAGGTTGCCCGGGAGAAGAGGCCAATCTCTAGCTGGCTACACCATCCTTTCAAGGAATTCTAGAGACATAAGGTCACCGAGTTGCTTTTCCCCACGCTAAACAACCCCAGCTCCCTCAGCCACTCCTCACAGGACAGAGCTCCAGACCCTTCACCAGCTCCCTTGCCCTTCTCTGGACTCACTTTCACCACTTTACAGCTGCAGAAATTCTAAGTGACAACAAGCAAAGCCAAGAATAAGAATATCCAGGCTTGAATCCTGTCCCCAACTGTAACTGTTAAACCAGATTTCCTGAGCTCTAACCGAGGGTCTCGGGAGCATCACACGAAACAACTCCAGCAGCAGCTGCTGAAAAGCAAAAATACACGTGTCCTTCCTTTCCTCACTCGTGCCCTGTCCCCTCAAAGTCCGGACACATCCCCGCACCAGCGCCGCGCTCCCGGAGGCGACAGGGCGAGAAGATGGAGGCGGCAGGGCGCAGCCTCAGGGCCCTGCGGAAAGGGCGCTGCAGGGAGCAGGAGCACAAACAGCAGGGAAAAACCCCGAGGGGCGCGGCTGCCCGCGGTATGGGCACGGTCAGCCGCCCCCAGCGCCGGGCAGGGCAGGGTCCGGCCGCAGGGCGGGACACTCCCGGCCCCGCCCGCCCGCCGTGGCCATGGCACCGGCAACGGCGCCGGGGCCGCGCGGTGGGGACGGGCTCCGGACCGGACTTTCGGCTGCTCCTTCGGTACCGAGCCCGGCCGAGACGGCAGCACCCGGCCCGCGGCTCCGCCCCACTGCTGCCCCGGGCGGCGGCCCCGGTACGGCCCAGGCCGAGCCCTGCGGCGGGTGTGGGGCCGGGAGTCGGGCGGGACGGGGCGTGAGGCCTCCCCCGCCCCAGGGAACCCCCGGCCCAGGGACCCCGGCCCAGGGAACCCCCGCCCCAGGGACCCCCTGCCTCAGACACCCCCTGCCTCAGGGACCCCTGCCCCAGACACCCCCCGCCTCAGACACCCCCCGCCTCAGGGACCCCCTGCCCCAGGGACCCCTGCCTCAGACACCCCCTGCCCCAGGGACCTCCGCCTCAGGGACCCCCTGCCCCAGGGACCCCCTGCCCCAGGGACCCCGGCTCCAGGGACCCCCTGCCCCAGGGACCCCGGTGCCGTCGCCGAGCTCGGCACGAGGTGGGTGCCGCCTGAGCAGCGGGCAAGCGATAGGGCTGGCGGCTCCAGCGAGGCTGGGACCATGAAACATCAGCTGGAGCAAAGCCAGCCCTGCGTCCCAGAGGGAAGCATCGTGTAGAGTATGGTATTTCCACTGATTACTGTTGCACTATGCCTTCCTTTTAATGTTTCATGTCGTCGCATTTTCTGTTGAAGTTGATGGCGCCTCCAAAGAAAGCAGATTTTTCTACTAGATTTTTCACCTGTATCTTCCACAGAACAGGATTTCAGCTCTGAGGCTCATTTGCATGATGGTGACATCTGTTTGATACAGAGACATATATTTCAGTTCTTTCTTTTTAGTTTGTTTTATACTGTCTTATAGACAGACTTTTAAAGAGGGAAGTGGAGCCTGATGATTTGTGCTGATTCCTCAAATATGTAAGTAGTTCTGCTTGTTCACTTGTCTTTCAGACCCTCTATACACACTGTGAAGTGAGAAGGACCCTCCAAAGTCAAATGTCCATGCTCAATTTGGTGATAGACTGGTAGGTGCTGGCTAAAGTCAGCTCACATGTTGACCTTGTCTTTTTCTGCATACACATGGGTAGAAACTCCATCTCAGTCCTAGGCTGCTCCCTAAAAATAGCAAAATAAAAAGAAAAGAAAGAAGCTTTATCTAAAACAAGACAACACAGGGAGTAGCCATGACTGCTGGCCTATAGTGACTGGTAACAGCAGCCTAGAAATACCCAGCTTCATTTTCAGAGTAATTTCCTAAGCTGTGTGTCAGTATTTTTAATAGACTGTCTTCGAATGCTGGTAATTATAGCTTGTATATGTTACTTAGATCTAATAAAATAAGTGGGCAGCTGCTGGGCTGTTGTTCAAGCAGAGCTGTCATTTCACACAGTTCCTTACTTACCTTGGGAGAGATTTACACTACGGATTGATGTAGCCTACATAGACTAAAATGAAATACCTAGCAACATCTAAGCAGTCAGTAAAGACTGCAAATCTATGCTGATTCTTCATACAGAATTATCAGAGTTTAACTTCCTAGCTAATGCTTGCCTAGCTAGCCCATGCTTAGCTTCCTGCTGCATTTTCTCCCCTGCTGTCAGTATTCCCCGTAGCTAGTTTAAAACCAGCTAGGGTGTGTCTGTGGGGGTTGCAGTCACACCTTCAGACAGCAGTGATTGATAGCTGCACCGGATGCATTCAGGTAGAGTGCCAGAGGAAAACAGACTTGGTGCAACTGCACAATGAATTGGATTTTAAACAGAGTCCTCCTGAAGCCAGGCATGTGATGGAGGCTGCAAGACAGATTTTCTGAACTCAGACTTCATTGCTGTACAGCAAGGAGGAAAGCCCTGAGCAGCTTTCCAACAATGGAGTCAAGGAGCATTTTTTGTGAATAATGTTGCTGGATATATCTTACTGCATTATCTCAGAATATTTCTTATATCTACATGAAAACAAAAAAGTGTTTGTCTGCCTGTCAGTAGAGAGACAGAGAATATTGCCTGTCATCAGTGAGACCCTTGCAACAATATGGCTGTGGTAACAGTTCAGGCCAGATGAAGTAAACAAACAACCTGTCACTAAAGTTGCCATGTCACAGGAGTAATGGTGAAGATGGGTGTGCTGGCATACTCTTGCATAAAACACGTTTTGGAATCAATCAGCAGTGTATAATGTGCAATTCAAAACCCTACATCCTTGAATTCTTAATCTGTAGCTTCACAATTTGGGATGGACAGAGGTTGTGATACTATTAGTTCATAGGGTGTTCCAAACGCTCAAAAGTTGAACTCCTTTTGAAGAGAAATAGAACAAAAATGCAATTTCGTGCACAGCAAGCAGCTACTCATGGTAGGGTGCCTATATTTTCATCAACTGACACTGTCTTGCGTTCTGGTGAGTATTCTTGAAATGTCACATGCATGCATTTGAGTTAGGACCTGCTGAAATGAAAGGGGCAATTCACAACTCAATTCTGATTTTAGTCTTTTACAGAAGCTCAAGCCAGTAGAGCTTCATCACTTATGATTGCAAAGATTTATCGGCAACCATAAATTTAGCAATTTAAGGCATATCTACCCAGGGAAATTAGTCCTTAAAAGGAAGGGTGTAGATGTTTAATGCTAGCTCCCTTTGAGTTATTTTTAACAAATGCTAAAATTGTTCCAGTATAAAATAATGTGACTTTACCCTGCAAGTGGAATATGTTACTTAATTTCTAGAGCACTAGAAATAAGAAGGAGTTACATGGGGTAATGTGCTAGAAGTTCACATTGCTGCACATTCACAGTTACTGCACACTAACTTCTTTATGTAACAAACTGTTAGACCTTTTGGTTTTCAGTATAAGTTTAGCACTGGAAAACAGCCAGAAGACAAATCTGTGCATCTGCTGCTAGTCTGGTATGCTCCACATCTTGAGAAGTACCATCTAACTAGCTGACATCATTAGCATACCTATGCTGCCTTCTCTTCCCATCCCAAATGTGCAGTCCTGTAAATCACAGCAGGCTGGAATTCTGCTCTCTTTAATGCCGTTTGAAGTGGCTAAATTACAGCCTCTCTTCTTTGTGTCTACACAAATGCTAGGTGAAGGCACCGATATTCTGAAGTATGGCTACTGGACTCATTCATTTTCCAGCCTGCAGTTTGTGTTTCAAGGGTGAAGATCCAGTGCCTGCATATATTGGTCGAAGATGGAGGGCTCAGCAGCGCCTGGAGGCTCTTCAGCAGCTTGCTGTGTAAGTGTTCTATGGTTGGACAATTTAAAATGAACATATGAACAAAACCAACAAAAAGCCATGCACACTGAAGTGGAGGTGACTGCAATTTGCTCCTACTTACATTTCCCTTGAAATTAAGAGATTGCAGCTGTTGTGGAGTATGGTTACCCATCTGTTTCTTACAGGGTGGATGTTGCACATTCCTTCATCCCTGTGCTATCTGCTTTGCAGCGTTTGCCATGAAAAAGAAGAGAGTTATTTCAATCTCTTACAGATCAGATGAGTTATGAAGACTTCAGTGACTCATGTGTGTTACTTCAGTGGGAGCTCTTTGATTTTAATCCCGTGCAATTGCAGCTGGTTAGGTTGCTTTTGCTGCTGCTCCTTCCAGGGTCCTTGGGGCCTGAACCAGGGCACCACATTTTTAGTGCAGGGGTTTCTTAGTTGAGCTTTCTCCTGGTGTCACAATTTGGGTTCTGATACAGCAGATTTTTTAATAAAAGCTTACGCGTTTTGCCACACCACAGGTTTTTTTAAGTCCTGTGATATTCAAGACTGCGGGCAGCAGCCTAGGTTTTTGTCTTCAAAGGTTCTTTCTGCTTTAAGCAACTGACTTTAGACCATGGGCTTTTCAGGTGGTGCATGCTCTGGGGTTGCTGGCATATGGCAGACAAGAATCAAAGATGCTCAAGAGTGATACAGTGGATTTCACATTTGAAAGGCATATTCTTCTCATTTTCACAATTTAAAAAAAATGGGAGTATTTTTTTCTTAATACTATTTTCAGTGTTTCAAATTGTCCCCAGTGCATGAACACCTCAGTGGCTTCTTATATATTGCCTGCAATTCTGTAACGACACCTGCACTGCTTTAAAGTTAATTTACATTTCAACAACATGTATTTGCAAAATGTCTTGCAATTAACAAAAAATGAGAAATACATCCCCTCTATTTCAACCTGCACTGATTGACAGTGCTGCTGATACGGAAGACAGAATATTTTCCAGCTGTCTTCTCAGTATTTGCATTGCCTCTGCAAGGTTACTGGGAATAAATGTTCATTTATTTCAGCAAAGTCAGCAAATATAAGTCAAGGACATGCAAGAGGCAGGATCTGTGGAATAAAAAGGGCTATTTCCCTGGGTTCCCATTGTGCCTATAACTATACCATAACAGGATGAACGGTTTATGCTAATAAAGTTAGATCATAAGAATAAGTGCCCACCTGTGCTGAATGAAACACAAATCCATCTGGATGGAGCAACAGTCTGATATGTAAAGAGTCAGCTAATGGAACTAGCCATCAGCTCAATTAACTCATTTGACTTACAAACACAACTTCACAATAATAGGTTGATTAGTGCTGAGCAAGTATATCAGGTTACGACATTGCATCTCAAAATATTCCCCTCTCTTTTCTTATGTGATGTGACTGAAAGCCTTGGGAAGAGATGACTTTAAACTTACCTTGGCAGTAAATTGTGTGTCACGGGAGGTTAATGAAGCGTCTCGCTCAAAGCTTTCCTGTGGCAGATAGCCATTCTGTGCCTCCTCAGATTCCACAGCACAGTTTGCAGGAATTAGATGAGGGCTTGGAAGACAACTGGTCTCAGCATGTAATCCTCTGTTTTGATCTCAGTGGTCGAGCGATGTTAAGTATTGTTAATTGTATCTCTGTAAATATACCTTTGTAATTAAAATCAAGCATCAGCAACCAGCCCCAGTACCCACAAGCCCATACATCTTGAGGTCAGAATTCGCACAAGTTGCCAAAAATGGTCTTACAGAAAACCTGGCTCTCAGGACTTGCCTTATACGTAACTCAAAGAAATAAAATCATCATAGAATGGCCTGGAGTGGAAGGGAAGGGACCTTAAAGATCATGTAGTTCCGATCCCCTTGCCATGGGCACGGATACCTTTCACTCAGAGTTCCATCCAACCTGGTCTCTAACACTTCCAGAGATGGGGCATCCACAACTTCTCTGAAAATTACTTCTACTTTTTGCCTTTAACAAATGTGCAGGTTTAGATGAGTAAGTCATCTAAAAAGCAATTGTGAAATCAAATAGCAATACTGATTAATAACTTCCAAATTTCTCAGTTTTACCCATTATCTCACTGACTGCCTTAATGAGGTTTTCAACATGATCTTCCAAAGCCTTAAAGAAGACTCTTCAAGATGCTGGAGTGAAAAATGTAAACAGTCTGCCTAATTAAAATTCAAAATGGGGAAAAAAAAAAGAGAAGTGTTCTTGCAAAAGATATGGTTGTTCCAGTATAGATTTTGAAACATTCCCGTGATTGTCCTAATTTTTCTCCTTTACTGGAGAACTCAAATTGAAATTGCTGATTCTATATGTTTAAACATTTGCTCAAAATATCTTTACCTGCTTTTCAGAGGTTGAAAATATCTTCTCCTTTGCTCATTCTGTGTCTTTACACATATTTGGGAACTGTTTCACTCTTAAAATAAGCTTGCTCCCCCCATTTCCAATAAAAGTGGTTTCCTTTACAAAGTCAAGCATGTACAAGTGGTTAATGCTTTTTGTAACAAGCTCATAAGAAAGTTTTAATAAACACCGCAAAGACCATTTCTTGACCACATGTAATGGGAAATAAACATAAAGTGTCAAACTGTTTTGCTGCATAGGTAAATGTGAAAAAACAAAAATATAATTGCTTGTATAAGTGTGAGATTTGGGGGGAGTTTGTAGTGTGCATGTTGGATAGTGCAACCAGAGGGGAGAGAGAGAAAAAAAAAAGGCATAGGAAATAAAGATAACTGCTCAGAATGTACTTCCTAAATGATATCCTGTATTTTGGCTTTCAGAGGTCAGTCTTCTCTTCAGATGCCTCAGGTTGTATATGAAGATCCTGAAGTTGATGGAAGGAATCGCTACAAATACTTTGCACGGTAAGGAATGAATTGATTTGAAAAAGGGTTCAGCTTCTTTCCGTGCATTTTCAAGAGCACCTAAGTAAAGGCCAGAGCATTATTTTTTCTGTATTTTCTGTCAGTATTTTGATAAAATAGAAAATTTTAATAGTAACCAGGTCTTAAAACACAAGGTCTTTCTAAATTCACACTATGACAGAATTTTCAGTTATGAGTTACCATATAAGCAAACGTATCAGACATTCTGTACTTAATAAGAAAGCTTTGGGCTGTAGATGATCCTGTGCAAAGGAAGAAGATATTTACAAAGCCAGTGTGATTCTCCAGACCTCTAGAAAGGTGTTTTCTTAAGAAGGAGTCTTTTAACTCCCAGTTTCTGCCAGGAGCAGAAAGGGACCAAAGGGAAGCCTTGATTAACTTCTCATCCATATCCCTTACTGTAGAACTGCTCCGCTCCTTCCACAAAGACACTGCAGGTCAGCAATGGACTCAAGGTCTGAACCAACAGCTACCATATAAACATTCTTGACTTAGTCACATACACTTTGAATTGCATTCACTATTTTACTCAGCAGCTATTGGCCAATGTATCCACTTTAAATATAAAAAATTTGCTAAGTTTAATAAATTGAAGTCTATTATGGTTTTTCATCAACAGTTTTAAAAGAACAAAGATGAGGTTATCTTCTGCAATATGAAATTAAGCTTCAAAGTCTCCCAAAGGCTAAGGGAAATAGATAGAAAGCTGCAATATGCAAACTAAAAGAATGCCTAGGAAGGAATTATTAATATGTAGTTGAGCCCAAATCACTTTCAAGATACCTCATAAAGTATTGCAAAAAATGAAACAATAAAATTAGATAAGTCCAAACTAGCTTATCAGCTGATTGTAGGAATGAATTTCAGGACTTCAAGCAATTATTAAAAAAACCCACTACTCTTTCAAAAAAGTGGAGGTGAAGTGAAAAAATTAAGCTAATTAGTGAAACATACACAAAATATTGGGAACACACTCAAAAATAACTTTAGTATTTGTCTTGTTTTGCAACTCCACTTTCTGCTTTGACTTATTCATAAGAATAACATTTAGTCCTGGTGTTTACTGGTGAAACTTCCTCTGTTCCTCCTTAGCTATGAAAGAGTTATTTCATATTTAGGCATAATTCCTAAACATGGAACTAACAGAACCACAGTTGTAGATAATCAGTATTAACTCCACTGAATTTAGTGGACTGCAGTTTTTCTGAACCATAATGATCTTTTAGGCTTACCCTTGTTGTCTGACTTTCATTCTGTCTTTACACCTCTCAGCTCTTCTAAGCTGCCTCCAGCAAGTGTTCCAGAAGCTGTTGCTGATAAAAAGACAGAGTAAGTAGTGACTTTTAGAAAATTACTGTTGAAATGGGTAACATCTCACCAGAAAAGATCAGGCAACTATTTGGTCACCAGCTTGGTGACCACTATTTTTCATAATGAACCAACAGGAAAAGCTTGTTAAGAGGTAAGGTGCTGCTCTCATAATTGAGAATTCTAGAGGAAATAGATGATGGACTGTTTCAGAATTTGCTTGCAGTATGTAAGTAGTGCTTTGTGACTAAGGGATGTGCTTCTGGTGTGTTAAGACTGTGAAGCTTGAAACAGAAAGCTAGATGTCTCTGAATTCTAGAAGATATACCATTGCAAAGAAGATTCTCTAGTAGAGCAATATTGTTGGAAAATCTTCTGGTATTTTATTACAATCACTGTGATGCAATGCTACTCAGAGATGTAGAGTTTAAGTAATGCATTCTAATGTAGTTTTCAGAGAGTATCAAATTTTGAAGTCACATAATAAAATTCACTTCCTAGTGGAGTCAATGAAATTGCATGTGGTTATATCAGAATTAATTTTTTATTCTGGAATTGCTGGAAAGAGAAACATGTAAATAAAATTGAAGCAGTCCTACTTCATGGTACTTTAACAATTTTATGTCCATTAAATGCAATGCTTTAGAATGGATAGGTAGGGAAGGTTTGTATGTAATAATCATGAGAGTTGAAACTAGAAGATTTGTGGATTATTTACTTAAGGAATGTATTTCAGACTCAGTGTAGCCTCCATCTGCTTTTACCAAAGATAATGGAGTTAACATCAATGGGAGTAATGTTAAGATAAACCAAAACACATTTAACACTCTCGCCTTGGACTGACTTGCTTCTGCTTTGTTTGCATGGAGGTTTTTTAAATGAATGTGATCAATCTTCCATCTTGCATCTCTTTTTAGGACAAAGCTACGTGTCCTGTCAGGTGCAAGAGACAGCCAGGTCTTCGGCCTCATGTTCCGAACTCTAGGGATACAGACAGATTACAGGGATGGTGAAGCACAGACAGATCCCTATTCTCCTGAATATATAGTTCGCAGTGGCTCAGTCCCTGAAATTCTGACACTTGCCACACTCACTTGGGGTGAGTTGTGAAATTAAGATAAATTATACTGATCTTGCTGCCTCTTTAGCAGGAAGTTCTTTTCTTTCCAATGTCAGGTTTTAAGTCTATTGCCAGCTTTGGCGGTCTTTTTTTGTGTGCATTTGAGGCAATTATTTTATCTGTTTCTAAAGTAAGTATGATATTTCCCTACTTAATGGTGCTGTTCTGGGGCATTTAATGAAGGGTTTTGAGAACCATTCAATATAAAAAGGTCATGTTTCACAAATGGGAGATAGGAGCAGTTTTTCCATTTACCCACTGTTCTTCAGCTGCTCTGAGTTTTGAACATTATTTAAAACAAACAGTATGAAGACTGCTGCCCTGGAACATACCTGTGATCCTCATCTCCCAGTGTCTCACCTGTAACAATGATGGACACTGCACATGCCAAAGAAAGTGCTCATTCTCAGAAAGTATCTTCCTAGAAAAGCTTTTCTCCCTCTCCCTTTGCAGTAGCAGAATAGCAGAATAAAGTGCCAGTGTTAGCGTGCACTGAACTGTAGCAACTGCAGGTCCTACCATGCCTCATATTGTAGAATCTCCCTGGTCTTAGAAGTATTTACTTCTGGCTTTTGACAGTTCTGCTTGTGTTTACCACATGGACCTGTACCCATCCAGCCCTCTCATACTTTTTGGTGGTGGTTATTTGTAGGATTTGCCAATCTTCCAAAAAGCTAATGCTTCTTGTCCCTGTAAGGTCGGGGACTGCCAGCAGGACAAGCTGAGATGGAGATTATTGATCGCATCCGGGAAAAACGTGCTTGGGAAGCAGCTCTGCCACCCATGGACAGTCCCTCAAATGTTGCAAAGAGGTTGAAGATGATGGAGGCTATGGAAATGAAGGAGTGGGCTTATAGAGAAGAGGAAATAGATAAGTAGGAGTCCTATTATACTGTTTTATTTCTTTTAATTATTGGCTAAATAGAGGAGGAGCAAGAAGGTTTAGGGAATTGGCTGAAGGGTACAACAAGCCTTCTATTTCTCTGAAAATACCCTGATTTTGGGAAGGGGTGTTTTTCTTAAATTTAGCCTCCAGGTCTGCTACCACAATACATTTTACCAGTGCTTAACTCCCTTTTTAAAATGAAAGATTGAATATGAGATATGCAACATGAGCTATTTGGAAAGGTATGTAGGATTTGATGGTGACAGCATTGCACAGACCACTGCAGAGTACACTCAATACTGTCTAACCTTTTCTTTCCTTGCAGGTTGCAGAAGGTTCAGATGGAAGTCTTTAAGAAGCTGCTGCAGAGGCAAGAGGAGAATCAGAATGAGCTGAATGCCATGCGCTTGAACAACCACTGGCAAAATCATCAGAAGGCTAAAGAAGAGAAAATAAGAAAGATTCAGCATGACTGTGCATTGAGTAAGTCTGAAAGACAGGAAGGGAGGGGTATGAGACAGTTTTCAGACAAGCCATTTCTATTTTTCCAAGGTTACCATCTATTCAAAAGGAAATATATTGCATCCACAATATCAATGTGCATGGCCAGCATCTGGTCTGTCATGTTTTTATCTTATCTTGTGAACTTAAAAAGATACAGCTTTTATAGAACTATTTGTGTGACCTGTCTCACATTTGTATTTCCTTTTCAGTGCTCAGGAAACTGATAGCTAAGAGGAAGAATTGGATGGGAAAGCTGGAGAGGCGAGATATCATCAGAGAGTATAATGACTTTTCATCACAAACATATGCTCCTTTGTCTCGAATTGGTTTTTTCCCAGACAGGAGTTCTGACTACTACTCGGTAAAAAACTACTATCTTAACACCTTTGCAGGTAAGGCATTTTGGAAGACTTTGTTGTGGGAGGTACTTACTTGAGATATTAACCAAAATTCAAGTTTCCCTCCCCATCACTCCACTACTTAACCACTGTTTGTATTAAAATCCTTGTATATTTTATAATCTTTCTTCATATTATTATCTTAGGATTGTGTGAACTGGAAAAATCTGTCCAGCCTTCTGTCTTCCCACTCAAGATTAAAGCTCCAAAGCCTAAATGCATTATCACTAAGACTGGCTATGTTAAAAGGTCAGCAAGACTAGAGGTAGTCGTGGCACAAGTTCACCAGGTATGAAGCTGCCTCCAGCAGCACGTCAGTTCCTCGTAGATTTGTACTGCTCATAAATGCAATTGGGAAGATGTGTAAGCTTCTTCGCAATTTCCTGAATTCTTATTCTGTAAAATAGCTTCTAGGACAGAGTGAATCAAACATGCAGATTGTTGCAGGCTTGACCAGTGCTGCTCTAATGCTCAACCCATCAGTACTCTCACTCCTGCTTCTGCTCCAGTCCTATAGACAACAAGCACAAACAAATCTGTCTTTCTACAGATCAGGTATTTGGATTGGAACATATTATGCCAATATGAAATTCTCGCCCTTTTCTCATTCTCATTGCTCCATTTTATAATACCCCACTGGCTACACTGTCAAGCTTCCAATAATTAAAGAAAGTGAATTTGGGTTCATATTTTAAAAATTTTGTACATTATTTTAAAAGTACATTTAGGTACATATTGTAAAAACATCTGTAGCAAAGCATGACTAAATTTACCCCACTCATAAAATCAGGTCACCATGGTGGATGCATATCACTGTTGTTCCCTAAGAACAGCATCTGATTTGCAAACATGCTAATGCGTTTTTCTTATCTTAATTTATCACAACTGTTCATGCAGATGAGGTGTCCATATATGTAATTAACCACCAAAGAAAGAAGTGCCTCATTTGCACCTGCAATCACAATATTTGTAAATTACATGTACTTTTAAGTTCACTTCTTGTGATGCTGTTGAGGGTTACCTTCATGAAAAATCAGGAATATTCTTGTCTGGCTGCTATATCTTTGGAAAATAGTGACTCTAATTTGTAAAGCTTGGCAAGTTTCACTTTCATTTATATATATTATATATGTATGTATGTATATATATCTTTTTATTTTAGAGTAATGTAAGTAATAATAATTTCAAAGCAGACAGTAACCTGCTGTTGCTGAATTTTAAACTGAAATCTTGCTCTGAAAAATCAATCATATTATCTCAAATTTAAATTCTGCTGGATCTTGTAAAGATGAAGTATTGCATTTCATTATTATCCAGAAAGAAACTTTTCAAAGAAAATCTTGAGTGCTACAGGAATTGTTCAAGAGTAAGGACAAAACTCATAGTTTTAAAGACACAGAAGTGTTGAAGGGGTTTGAGTTTGGGTGGGTTTGCATAAAATTCAAGAAGTAATTGTGTAATCTGCAACATAACACAGTTCTCATTGTCAGCAGAATGTTAGTCCAAGCTTTTGGAGCTGAATTCCAGTTACAGCACGTGTATTCTGTTTGTTTAAAGTATTCCTCATGGTTTGAAAGACTGTGGTGAAATGTCTAAACTGTAACCACAGAGAAGAAGTGTGAGCAGCCAAATGCTGGCTGCTCACACAATAATATCTCTTCAAAGGAAAACTGGTGGACAAAGGAAGATGGAATGCAGAACAAATGCAGACAATTCTGCACAGTTTCTTTCTTAAATCAGTGTCAGTCACTTGGTCTGCATTGATTTATAGCAACTGAGAGGCTAAATAAGTAATTTCCCCACCACAAAAATGCCAAATGTATATTCCTTTAAAGTCACAAACCATTTCCTTTGCAGGCAAAAAGGATAAAATAAATCCATTGTGCAAAAATTAACTGCTGCTGTAAGCTATACAGAAAGAGACACCAGACTGGTTGGTCCAGACAAGCAGAAAGTACTGACATTGTGAAACACCCAGACTGCCTCCACTACTACATTTAAACAATCGTTCTGTTCAGAGAATCAAGAAATGACTGCCCTAATTAGCTCTTGAGCTCTATGATGCTGTTCCTGGTCACTTCTCCCATCAGAGGCTTTTGCTTCTGAAGTTCAATGGCTATAGCATGTTCTGGCTTAGCAGAGCCTTGCTGACAAGTCCACCTCAAATGCTGCTGGAGCTGTCAAAAACAGAGCAGTAAAGCATGCTGAGCAGTTGCATTAATAGAATTTAGGACAATTCTCCCTGAGAGGAGTTCTCTGACCAGTTGGAATAAGCAGTCCCAATTGTGCCAACAAGCCTCCTATCACACACAGTAGAAAAGAAGTTTAAAGCAGGTAATTAGGGAGCATTTTATGAGGGCACTGTATTGCTTTGCCTTATTTCTATAGCTGAGTAGCCAGATCAGTTTTCTATTCTAGAGCTTTCTTTTAATGCTCTCCTAGCACACTTAATCCATAAAGTCTCTCCCATAATCCTAGAAATAAAATGTAATCCTAGAAAATTTAGGGAGTACATGGAGACCTAGCTCTACAATGCATTTTTAAATTTTTTCCTGGATTATCTAGAAGCAAGTGACAAATATAGGAGGAATGCTAGATATTGGCCTCAGAAGTAATTAGTTTTAATAAAGAAAGTTGCCAAGGCTTGCTTCTCTGGCCAAACACGAGGAAAGATGGATAAGTTCTCCTCATTATATTCCTTTTTGTTAGCCATACTGAGGGTATTCCTAAGCTTAAAGCTTTTTAGAAGGGATAAACAATAATCCAAGGATCTGTGTCCTCCTAAGAATGAGAGCTGCTTCTTTCAGACATGAAACTAAGCCAAAAAGAAGTGATTATAGAAGCAAACTTTTTTTAGGACCATCCTGAAACCTTTTGCAGAAGTATTATATACACTCAGTAGTCTTTGAATAATTCTCTAAAATAAGAGAACATAGCAGAAACAGGAGTGACCCAATAAGTGATTTACAGTAAAACCAAGAATCCTTATCTTAAGCCAGATCAGTAAAAGGACAAATAGTTCCTAGCCAGCACAGCTAACAGTGCTTTAAGGAACCATTATATAGACAGCCTAGTATGAAAATCCGAGGCATTAAGGACATAACATCCCAATACAGATAACTACTGCAGGGAGTAAATGCAACTAGGTAAGTGAATACACCAAGGAGTGGAGGAGGTGGTAGAAGATATCCCAGTGCAGAACAATACATGACTTTAGGCAGGCCCTCTATGCTCTGGTGACTCAAGAGGGATAAAGCATCAGGTGGTTTCAAAGTGTTGGATCAAGATGAGGTCAAAACCAGAAACTTCTCACCTCAGCATTAAGGCAATTCTCACCACATCTGTTTCCTTTATCCAGTTGCTGGAAAGAGCTAGAGAAGTAGAGGGGCCAAGAATGTCTCTGGAGAAAATCTCTGCCAACTTCAAAGCATGGGAAAGGCTGTTTAAGCAGTTATTTCTTCAAGAACAGATCTCCTCACATTGTTAGTTGGCTCATGGTCAGACAAGCTCTGAGAGCTTTTATATCAGTCTTGATGCAGCAGCCACGCTGCATTGCTAAGCAGGTTGGCAGCCTGTCCTCAGTGATCCTACCTGAAAGGAGGCTGTAGCCAGGTGGAGCTTGGCCACTTCTCCCAGGCAACCAGTGACAGGACAAGAGGGCATAGTCTTAAACTGCACCAGGGGAGGTTTAGATTGGGATTAGGTAGAATTTCTTCACAAATTAGACACTGGAATGGGCTTCTTAGGAAGGTGGTGGAGTCATGGTCCCTGGAGGTGTTTAAAGAAAGACTGGATATTAAAAAAAAGACAGACTCAGTGTCATGGTCTGGTTGCCATGGTGGTGTTCAGTCATGGGTTCGACAATGTTCTCAGAGATATTTTCCAGCCTCATTGATTCTGTGATTCTGTAATCCCACAATTATCATTTGTGAGAAAAAGGAACCATAACCATGACTGCATACTTTGTGCTGTACACAAAAGTCAAATATACCTAGGATCTTGTGGGATGGAGGAGATCACAGAGGCGACAATGCAGGAATCTAAAGAATGGATTGAATTATTTCCTTGAGTGGAGATTTGCTTCTTAAGCTGTTATCCTGTCAAGAGTTCTGCTTCTCTCAGAAACTGGCTGAGAAGCCAAGGTGTATGATGAAAAGCATGAGTGCCATTTACTGTTCACTGTGTTTGCCAGGAGAATGGAAAAGAGATTACTTTTGTGCTTTCACTGTCCAGTCCAGGCAGATCCTACCTTGACTGTGAACCTGCTACCTGAATAAAGGAATGTAGTCTGTATCAGGAAAATGGGCGTATGATATGTAGACAATAACATTTGGTGTATGTTGCTCAGAAGTTTAGCACTTTTAAAATCAAGTAATTTTTTATTGATTCTTGAGTCCTGGTGTCTCTGTTTCCAAAAATGAGAGCTTGTTAAGTTGGGCAGAACCAGTTTAGGCAAAACCCCTTTTTCTTTTCTCATGTTAAAATCTTAAAATCATTTATAACATCAGATTAGAAAAAGCAAATGGTAAGCT